AGTAAACAAAAAAAAAGCTAGAAAGTTAAAAAAATTTAAAAATTTTAAGATATTATGACTTACAGATTGAAATAAATAGCAGTAATAATTTCATCATTAAAACAGACTGCTGCAGTTGTCAGTGTAATGTCAGTCGTTGAATTTGTTGAAATGTAACAAAATGCTATATATTTTTGTATTGTATTTTTAAGTCAATGTCTATCCTTCTCAGTAAAATTCAACAACGGAATAGGGGAAGACTTGTATTTGCTTTGCATGAATCAGTTATAAGGAGACCTTTTTTGCTATTCAGTTCTGTATAATGGTGTTTGTGATAGCGGCAAACGGATAGTTGTTGACAGCAGACGAGTATGCGGTGCGTGACCGATGGATTGAACACGGCAAAACAAAACAAAAAAAAAAGTTATATACGCTAAAAATTACCTAAAACATTGACTTGTTGATCCAAATTATATAATTTTAGAATAGAAAATAACCTTTTTTTTTATTCATGAATGTTTTACATATATATATGCAACATCTGATGTATGTTTCTTTTTTTTTTTTCGCTGTATACATAACAGTAGAATAACCTTAACAAATTTTGATAAAATTGAATTTGTGAACAGTTTTTTTTTAATATACCTATGAATAGCATCAAAATTTTTAACTTTTTTACTGTATCAATGAGTAATTTGTTCTTTAGAAAAAAAAGAATGATAACAGTTTATTGAGTAATTCCTCGCCGTTGCCGGTGATAGATCGTTATGTGTTTCTTTTTGCTCTTAAACTGATAATCACTTGAAGTTGCTGTCTACTTGAACTTGATCTAGGTGCTGGCCACATTTGATGAACAGTTTTAAAACACGGATAAATTTTGCGGAACTCCAAAAATTTTGCGGATGTTACATCAGTTTATTACAATAATAATTCGTATAAATAACAAACAGTAAAATAAGCAACAAGAAATAAATTGTAGTGATAACAGAAGTAAGTTTTTATTTTTTTCAAGGAATACCAATTGCATTCAACAAAAAACAAGCAATAATTGTTGCATAATGTTTGACACATAAAATTTTTTTTCTTTTTTTTTTTTATAACGTCAAACGTTGGTAAAAAAAAAAAAA